TATTATAGTTTCGCCATTTATTCGCCAAATGTCATCCCTACTTTTTAAAAAAAATCTTGCACTTATTAACATATTTAGCATGAATGCATATTATTTTCATAAACGTATTTTAATCTCTGTAAGTGAAATGTTATTAATTGCTCTATCACACACCTTTCTCACACAAAATTATCCAAATACACAATATTGGAATAAACAATTTTCAAACTCTACAAATGATAAATGACAAGTAATAAAAAATTAATAATTCTTAAATTTGATATTGATGAGCAACAACAAGAATATTTATCGAAACAAGAAAAACGTTTGGTTTACTTTCATTCTATTATTTTTATTTATTGGAGAACTATGAAATTCATTATATCAGGAATGCCCAAATATTTCAAATTTATTGATGAAATTTACCAAATAAAAGATAGAAACATTTTATACGATTACAAGGCCTTGTATAAAAATCAAGTTTTAAAAAATTCCTTAATCATATCTAAAATCTAAATTATTTTTCTTTGCAAACCCTGATTCATATAGTCTATGATTATTATTTATGTTCACAGTTTCACATTTGTTTTATATTATCCACGAGCCAAAACAAAAAATTTACAAAGTGTGCTGAGGTGATGTAATTGATATAAGGAAATTGTATCTATGAAACAGGTAGACTTGAAATCAAATTCACAAAGGTGAATTAAATATTTTATATTAATTATATTAATTATATTATATTAATATTAAAAATTCAATAAAGGTAAATTAATAATGTTTTTTTTAGGATGATGCTTGATTGAATTGAATTTGCTTTTCGAAGGACCGATTGTAAATACTTTAATTTTGTACGTTAATTTGTTTTACGTTAATTACATAAATTACATCGTATTTATAATAATTTTAATATGGTTTTATTACGTGTTGAATGATTTGATTTTAGCTTTATAATAAATCGCTTGATGATTTTTTGTTTTGTATTTCATGCTTTGATTGGCGCGAACAAATAATAAATTTCTAAAAGAAAGTGATTAAATTGAATATCATTTTTATGTTGAAATATGGATAAAAGGGCTTCATGGCTTAATAAACGAGGAATTAAAGGAGCACATATTGCCCTCCTATATTGTATGTATTCAATAGAAGTGCATTATAAACACTGATCAAGGTTACGCAGCAAGTGTGGTGAGTGAGTGCCAATAAAGGTTTCAAACGCTTCAGAATGACTTGAAACGTCGAAAACATAAATCTCACTTTCGAAAAAAGTGAAGTATTTGTCTAGTTATTATATATACTATTATCTAAATATTATATATTAGGGTGGTCCTTATCCTTCATGGATATGAAATGCATATGGACAAAAAAAGAACTTTTTTGTATTTTAGGGGTTTTCAAAAAAAAAAAAAAAAAAATCAAAATGGTATTGAGTTTCAGAGATATTAATGATGATTTTTATATATTTTGCTTGGAAAGCCTAACCAATTTTGATTTTTTAGAACTAATTTATATATCTTATAATTTGTATGGCTCGTTGTGGTTGTTCATCGATATCAATTTACACAACTTTAGTTTATTACAAAATCATTTTATTTACTATTGTTGTAAATAAAATTATTTTAATTAATGCAAAAAACAACAAAATACCACATATATAGACAGTAAAAAATAAATTTTTTAGCTTTTTAATAAAAATAATTATAATTATATTAGACTTGGACTTTACAATTTAAAAAATAGCAATTGCCACTAAAGATACTACAAAACTAGTATATTATAAAATTTTAAAGCAAAGATATTTTTTGAAAGTGTTACCATTTATATTCGTAGTTTGAAAATTGTTTCTTAACCTATTAATATATATATTTATTTCACACCTTGCAAAATTTCTTTCATATCACACACATCTAGGAAATAATCAATCATAGTTTAATAAATCAATCGGCTTAGAAAGCTGATTTATCGATTCAGCTTTTCTTCACACAGCTTCGCTGCAAGTTAAACTAATAATTTAAATTTGCCAATAAATATATGCAATAATTTTCAAATCGATTATAAATTGGATAAATCGATTTATGTCGAATGATTATTTAACAGAAAAATATCTGTAATAAAATAACTGTTGAATAATCATTTATCTATAAGTTTGCAGTGAATATTTTTTTATTTCTGTGGAAATTTGTTATAAAAATTTTAAAAAAATATTTAAAAAATCTATTCCAATCGCATGCGAAATAACTCACCCATAGAGTCGACTGTCTCTTAAGCTTCCTCTGTTAGCATTAAAAGAAGAAATAGTGTTAAAATTCATATTAAATAAATACTGTATATTCTAAATATATAAAGAGAGAATTAAATATATTTGATAACATATTATATAGAATAGGGTGAGGCACAAAGGTCCAATTTGACATTGAGCAATTATATTGTGAAAAACAAACCAGATTTGTAAGTGTTTCGAGAAAGATTCATTTTTTGTGATAAAAGAAATAATTAAAAACCAACAAAAGTATTAACTTATATTCCTACAACTTCCAGCATTATGTATACAATTATGTCCATGATATCGACATTAATTTATCTCATAATTAGATTCATCTGTGAATATTTATGTATGTATTACACCTGTGATTTTTTTAAAATGAAGAGAAGAAATTTATAGCATAATCTGTGAAATTCTAAAAAAAATTCTCCATATAATTAGCTAGATATATCTAATTAATCTTTCAACCATAAACCGTGTGATTAACCTGGCATTAACTTTGATGCAATAAATGTTAGAATAAATCAATTCGTTTTAAGTGTGGGTACACGATCAGATGGATGTTAAAGCAAATATTTCAATTGCAAATGAAAATTGCAAAACTTATTCACACGATATTATTAAATATCATAAATCGAAGTGGACTGAATCACTAAATATTGGGTTCAGTACTAGTATAACATTAGAGATATTCTAATGATATATATCTAATTATTTTGGAATGTAATTAAAGGTTAGATTTTTTTTCTAAAAAATTACAACCTCTTTTCCATAAAAATATTTATTATTTATTGTTTTGTTAGTTTTTATAGATGGCTATTTAAGGACAATCCAATAGTTGTCTTTTCTAGTTACGTTAATATTTTACAAAATACAAATTAGTACTTCTGTCTGAACTTGTTTGCAGCAATGTCCAGACAGACTATTTTCACTTGAATACTTATTGCTATCTGAATTTCCAAGTGAAAACCAATATCGCTGCTGCTAGACATCAGGTTTTCCAAAGATGGCATCAAACCTGGAACTTTTGTTTGGAATCCCATAGCTCTAACCACTAATCCCATATATTAATATCAATTTAAAAGAAAATTCGACATTTAGAATTCGAAACTTGTAACTTAACTTTGTAAACCCTAATATCATAGTGGAAGGCGAAAGTTGGACATGATAAGGTAAAGTCCAATGAATGGAAAAATAGTAGTACCAAAAGTAATTTCAATTTACTATCTGCAAACTCAGGAGCTGGTTTATGGATGATTAGGATAATCATAATGTCTTATTTGAAGATATCAAACCGGCAAATTAAAAAAGTATTTCAATAATCCTATGAACACCTCTCCTCGACAAATTAAGGTAAAGTCCAATGAATGGAAGAATAGTAGTACGTAGTACTTTTGGGTCAATGTCTTTAAAATCCCTATTTTTATCTGCAAGAGCAAGTTGTTGGATAATTGGAACATCAATGATGCCTTATTTAACACAATTTAAAAAAGTGTCTTAATAATCTTATGAGCACCAGAACTCGACAAGATTTCTTGCAAAATGACCAAAGACAAAAGTGCCTAATTCAAAAAATATACATGAATCTAAAAAATAGTTAAATGAAATAAATGAGAATAATAAAATACTAGTGTGTGAGAGAAGGTTTGAAAATAATAGGACAACAAGTATTTCCTAGTAACCTATTAATAGCAAAGAGTGACGTGAAGGTGCAGTTTCAGCATATTTTACTCACTACTCAGAATGTTCCAATTTTTTATACTTTTAGTGAAGTAATTCATCATTTTCTCTGGTTTACATTACTTTTGATTTAACATAAAAAGATGCATACAAAAAGTGACTTAGAAGCCTTTAGGCGCCGTTCGAGATCACTGAATTACATCGATTGTTTGGTAACGGTCGGAGAACTACATGGCCCTTTCCCTTTACTTATATTCCGTGCTTGAATTGTTATGAAATTCAGCGTTATATTTATTGATTACACTACATATTGTAATGAGAGAGCTAATGGTAATAAGAAATTATATAATAGTCAAGGAACATGGCTTTGTCTACTTTTTACTTGGTACTGAAAGCTTTAGTAGAAAAGAACTTGGCGAAGACAGAAGCCTTTATGCATATATATGCATAAAGTCTTCTGTCCTCGCCAAGTGAAAACAATTTGGACAATTTGAACTTGAGGGTAAGATGAACCTAATTCCAAAATTTTATGCAAATCAGAGTACAGTATAAAAATCAGACCCAACACGCTCCATTGACTGGAGTATTAGGACAAAACGGTATTACCACTGAATTTTTTTGGTGTGCTCTGATTTGCATAAAATTTTGGAATTAGGTTCATCTTACCCTCAAGTTTTATTTGTCTATATTCTTTTCACTTTTAAACTTAAGGGTAAGATAAAACTAATTCCAAAATTTCATGCAAATTGGAGCACAGTGAAAAAAATTCAGAGGATATACCCTTTTGTCCTCTCCGTTTACTGCATTAATGAATTTTTAGGTACTCATATGGACACAAAATTAATTGCCAACCACATACTAAGGCACAAAATTCAACACATAAAACTAAAAAAAATAGAAAACAAGACTTTGATATATTAATCCATTCTGAAGCCTGTGAAGACCTTTAGAATTATGCTATGAGACTGCCCAAGAAAGTTCAACATCGTTAAGATTCAGAAAATACATCTAAAGCTTTCAAGAAATAATTCAGATGCACTTTGGTACGCCTACAATTTTACTTAAGGTGTTATCAATTCATAAAGAATTGAAAATACCTTGCATAGATGAAGTTATTTAAGACAGAAACTGTACTCCAATATTAACCCTTTCCAATCGGATGCCGCCGATACGCATGGAATTTGCGAGTGAAAAGGATTAAAAATAGACGATCATCCAAATGAGTAACTGAGACCAGTTCTCAATGAACCAGCTATTAGAAGACTCAAAAACTAGGAGCGAACTAGTCAATTTTTTCGAACATCATTCAGAAATGTTTACCTTTGTGCCAATACAAGTTTACCAATACATTTAAGCTTTTTAGAAATAATTCAGACGTATCTTTGTACGCCTCCAATTTTATGTTATTAAAGACAGGAGCAGTACTCAAATATCAAAAACAATAGATTATCCAAATGAGTTACTACTAAGACCAGCTCTTAATAAACTAGCTATCAGAAGACAATGTTGACCTGCATTAGTTTTGATTAGAAATATGATCCTGCATTAATTTTAATTAGAAAATTATTTATTGGAGTCAATTAGTCAACTAGTCAATTTTTTTCCTAAAATCAGTTAAAAATACAAATCCCCTTCTACTTTGTTTTATAATAGATCAATTAAATTTTACTAAAATTATTTTTTTTAAACTATGTATCAGCTCCTTTTACTATTTCAAACCTTCCGATAAAGCATGTTACATTTATAATAATACAGATTTAATCCGCGTTTTTTTTATCTTAGATATCGAACAGTAAATTATTATCCGTTGGCGTTAATAAGGAAGTACTTTTTACTTAATTTTCAACGCTTTTATTAGTTTACTAAAAGAAAATCATTATGGAATAGTGAATGAACAGTTATTATAACCTAAATCAGGAAAAAGTTAATATATTCCTTAAATGTTGTATAATGCAAAAGATGGAAATATACTTTCATTAGTGTAATGTTATTCAGAAGACAAATATAGAATTAAATTATATTATTATTTTTAAAATCATTGTAATATAAAAATAAATACTAAACTAGGTGTATGGCATCGTGCCTTGAGGAAAATTGCTGGAACTTTCCGTATCAAAATAAAATTTTGAAAATCTTGAACAATCTTCAAAAATCTTTTGAAATTAAAAAAAAGTGTTTTCCCCAAAAACAGTCATTTCGTCTAACAAGCTAAAAGTTTTTTCAATCATTCAAATCGGATGCTTTTTTCTCTCAAAAACTGCAATTCTTAGCACATTTAGATCCGTATCCCCAAAACGGAGAGACCTGTCTTTCACAAAACCTCATCATCATTTTTCCCCATCAATACGAATTGAATGTTTTTTGGATCATTCAAATTGGATGCTCGATTCTCTTAAAAACTCGATTTCAATTCTCTGCACTCTTTGCTCCATAACTCCAAAACGGTTGGATCGACCCTTGCCAAGAACTAATAAGTACATCTCCCTATCAATAAGAATCGAATGTTCTTTACGTGTTTGTACGCGTATGATGTAACTAACATCTATTTAACTTTTACTCCTATATATTTATTTAATAGTTTAACATATCTATTAAAATAGATTCAATTTATATTTTAAAACGGCCTGTATTCCTGTCTTTCTAACACTGATTAATAGTTTGCGTAACATTTTATACAACAACAACAATAAAACTATTTGTAACATACAGTGAAAGGGTTTTCAACAAATAGATTGTTATTAAGCCTTATAAATGAACTACTTATGTCGTACTAATTTTAATAGGCGTATTGCAAATTAAGTAAGTTATTTAATACCATTGTTAGGAGATTTACAATTACTGCTAAAGCTACAATAATAAATATTAATAAAGAAATGATATCACTTTATATTCTTTAATTCTACAGGCATCAAGGTTGTATAAGTACTGATATCAACAAGGAAATCGGCATAGATAAGTAATCATTTTGAAGTTACATCGTAGTACAAATCTTGATGTAATGTAAATGCCTGAATCAGAAGAATATTTTACCCTGTTCCTTGAAAATTAATAAAACAAATTAAACATATGTGCCGTGTACTAAACGTAAGTTTATTGATTAGAAATTATTTCTATATTATTCGTAGTTTCTATAAATCTTTGATGTTATTAAAATCGTAAATATTTTTTAGTCAAAACAGATATTACAGCTGTTCAAAGAATGAGATTATATCGCCAGCGAAAAAGTAAAAAAAATAAAAAAAAGTAGTCAATGAATGTATGTTAATTTTAATTACATGAAGTTCTTCGAACACAATTACATGATGAGTGAAGTTGCAAAAACAATATTTG